TATATATATATATATATATCTCATAGCAATATAAAAAGAAACAGAATTTATCGGATGTAAAACAGGAAACAGTTGCGTAAAATTGTGAAACAATGTTGCCATTGTTCTGTAAGTAAATATGACTAAACCGGTTGAATAATCAATAAAAAATTCAATGCTTTTTTTATCAGGTATATCAAACATACAGTTAGGCGAGTTACACATTTTTTTTCGTTAAATCAAAATATTATATAATACTTATAACTGATTAAAATAGTCAAAAATTTTTCTATCAAAATCTATACGTGGAATTTATTCATGGAATTTATTAATCATTCTCTTGATATCAATTCTTATTCTGGATCACGAAAGTATCAAACGAATACACCTGCTATCAATAATGAACCGATTGCACAATAAACACGTATTAAAAAAGACTTTGCTCCCCCCCCTTACATATATAGTTAATTATATTGGACAAATTTGGTGTATGTCACAGGGAAATAAATAGATAAATTTACAGAAGTGTGTTCAGACAGATGTATCCAAGCATTGAAATTCATCCGTAAAATGTACGTATCACTTTATATATATATATGACACCGTTTAGTATTAGTGTTAGAAGATATAAAAGAAATATCTTGTACATTTTTTTACGAGATCGTTTTGTTACACAAAAAAATTTAAATATATTCCTATCTATATTTTCTTTTTTTTAAATATACGAAATGCATTTTTTAAATAAATGCGGTGGTCAAAATACCGATTGTTAATTTAAATAAGCTGCATGTATAGACACATCTTTTTCCCCCTTCTTTTGATTCCTATCTTTTGGTATATTTTGTGTAATTATATTTTTCATCCAGTAAAGTATATCTCACATAAAGTACTAGAATGTATCAAATATATATATATATATATATATGTGTGTCTGTATGTATATATATATATGTGTGTGTGGTATGCATCTTATGTGTATATGCTGCATGAGCTTGTATCCCTTGACAAGTGTCTTTCATGACAGTATCATTTTTCTTGTGGAATGATACTAGAACTTGAAGAATGTCATATCGAAATATTGATCGCAATTAGTCGTCTAGATCGTTAACGTGAAGAACCTCTCTGTGGGTTAAACCGGCATCCGATAGAGTCGAAATGTCTCTACAAGGATAGAGGACTCTTCTCGGATAGCTCGTTGTTATCTCGAAACTCGCTGGAGAATCTGGTTGGCTGAATATCCAATGATAAACATCCTGAAAAAAAAAAAATCTTATTTTCATTACATGCCATTGTTTTTGTTAAGTCAATAATAATAAATGGCACATAATTGAATGTGTACAAGTGCATGTACAAATTTTTGAAAATTTTTCATATATAATAAATTCTAATTAAGAATATTTTTATGATTATTTGTCGATCCCGAAACACAGCCCAAACTAAAGTTGGAATACTTAAATTTATTTGAGCTGGAAATTGTCAAATTTACACAAAAATATTGTTGGGTACCAAGACTGCTTTGACCGAATAAGACCTTCACTTATTTGTTGAACATTTTTTGGTCGATTTTCACTTACTACTGTTTATAATTGTTCATACTACTTACCTTGATTGTATCAGTCATAAGAAATCTTCTTTTCATTGTTCTCTCTCCAAGTTTAATCTGAAGATGACATGCATGGGGATTAGATGGTTCCGGCTCGAGGGGAACTTTGCTAATAGTCCGTTCTTTCTCGAGACGTATACGTTGAATTTCCAATTCCTGAGCGTCCAATTCTTCCTTTTCTCGGGCCTCTTGCTCCTCGCGTGCTTTTCGTTCCTCCTCTCTTCTGCGATCCTTCTCTTGATCAGCGCGTAACGATTCCTCATAAGCGCGATCCTGTTGTTGTCGGAGCGATTGCGCCGCGCTACGTTCTGCCCTAAAATAAAACACAAACATCAGCAGATGTTCATAAGATAACTTTTAATCAATTTTATCTAGCTCTTTTTTTTCTCTTGCAAAGATTAAGATATTTACAAATTTTACGAAAAATTTCAATTACCTTTCTCGACGTGCTTGGATAAGATTGATTTCATTACGTTCTATGATAGTTTGCAATCGCGACATTAAATCAGAAGAAGATGGCGCGCCTTCCAATCTGTAAAAAAAAAAAAATACATCAATTAAATTTTAAATACTGAAAAGTTATACAAACGTTTGTTTCAAAGTATGCAGATTAGTCTTACGTACCGACCGACTATTGTCATTCTATTGTCCTTTAATACAATAAGCGCTAGGAAAGGATATGAACCCGATTTGAGCGCTTCCGCGACTTTATAACCCTCTCCAGATTTTACGTTACATGCCCAAAACAAAGTATGTATGTTTATATATCTTATTACTTCAGGATCGGACAATGTATTTCTGAAAAAAATGTATCTTGTGTAGAATTCATATCATCATATGACATCCAACATATGACATCCAATAGCCAATAGAATTTGTTTCTTGGAGACAAAATGAAGCTATAACTAGAACCAAATTCTTTTATTGGATATGATATCAGATGTGCACAGTATTAATCCATCTTTATTGTGTGTTTTGTATATATACTATCTATTAGAATCTTAAGATTACCTGCACCATTGGTCGACCTCCTGTGCTTCATCTTTATGCAGATATACCAAGAGAAATCTTAATTCTTGTTTTGCATCCGAAAGAGCTTGACTGTAGGAGCCCTGGTAAAATACTGGGTGGATATTACCATAACGCTCCTCATAAGATCTAATAAAGTTGACTACATCTTCCACTGGATCGGAGGACACTTGAAAGATATTATTTATTTGCTTCAATTAGCGTATGAATCATAAATCTGCATGTGATTACAAGGATAATAATTAGCAAAATTAATTTTAATCAATTTGCAATCAGTAAATTATTTTACAAGATTTTAATTAAATCTTGCATATACATGCTATATAATGTAAGTGGAAATATTTGCTTCTAAAAATTTCCTATATAAATGTCTTTCTTGATTCTTAAAAAAAGGAATTAATTCATGATAATGTATGATTGTACATTACTTACCAGGTCTAACATTTCTTTTAAATATTGCAAAAAGTAACTGCAGGATACTGCTCACTAGATTATAACACATGGAAAAAATATAGGATAAGAGACCACCACCTCCACCAGAGCTTCCAGGATAACTAAAATAAATTCTTGAACTACTGTCATCTACGACTTGGGGTGGGCGGGCACGCGAGTCCTGTGCATACATAGATGGTCTGCCTTCATACAAATTTAATTGCTCCTACAACATAGAGAAATATTTTGAATCATACAAATTGGAGCTTCATCATACTTTGCATCACATATGTGAGGTTTCCACAAGCTATTTATTATTGGCAACGTAGAAAATTATTAATGGTAAATAAGTACATTGCTTGTCACAAAAAGATGTAATTTTATCCACAGTTAGTCATTTAAGATAATATTCAATATTTTGTGGAAGTTAGAAATCTTAAAATGTTGGGCTATGCTCCAAGACTTTACTGTGGCGAGAAGAGTAACTCAAGGGTTAGTTTTTATAATTGGTCGTTTCAAAACAGTCTCAAGTAATGTCTTCAGATGTTACAAATAGGTCACAGAACTATATTCACTACTAAAGAGAGAAAAAAAGAAAAATACCCAAGAGTAAATTCTTTTACTCATTGTCAGAGTAAAATTTTGGAACGCAATCCAGCGAGAATAAATTAAGAGATATAAAAGAGAAATATAATGTACTTGAACCGCCACTTCCAAATTCCAATTGTGCCTCTGCAAAACGTCTCTGCATACCGAAAGATCTTCGATACCGGTGAGGTCCTGCGGATCATTACGTGACATCATTCACGATATCGCATAGGAATAATGCGCGTGATTTTAATAAGATAAGAAACGAGCAAGATTGTACCTGAAACTGCAGTACTTTTTCGGTTTGATCGCCGCTGAGCTCCCCCAAAGCGAGGTCTGCCATTGCGACGTTTTCTGTCCGACAAATCGAGGGAACGAGATGTTTGAAAAAATCCGGTTGTCGTGAACGCGTAGTTACATCGAACTCATCAGCTGATGTAAGGATCGCATACACGATGCAGGTTATAACGCGAGGTCGTAACCATTTGGATACACGAGTGTCTCCGGCGGCAGTTAACCTCCAGCGTTGTTCAAGTCAAGCGACGAAGTCCCTCGAGACGTCACGACGCGATTTGCCTCATTTCTCCGCTACATACACGATGTTTTCCGACGTCATGGCTCTCCACGGTAAAATTTACAACTTCAAGATCGTCCTCATGCACAGTCATGCACAGTGCGACTCGGGAAAAGGCGACCTGGCGACGTCGACAGCAACCAACGGTCGGTATGATACCTCTCGTCCTCTCGGGATTGTCGGGCTTCGCTATTGGCGGACTGTGTTTTCCGAAATTCCCTAAATGTCGTACGTTGGGAGGAGATGGAACTCTACATGTTACTATAGGAACATTTGCTTAATGCAAAAGAACTCTACATTGGTATCCCTGCATTCGGAGATGGCTTTAAATAAACTAACCTATAAATCGTACCGATCCTTGACGTAGATACATGTAAATGTAAATATACAAACTTGCTTGACATTTTGGATATCGTGCAGGGATTGTTATTTTGCGTTTTACAATTTTCAACAACTCTAAAGGTAAATGTTTCACTTTTTTGGAAAAAGTTTGATTATTTTAAATCATGGTGTTTTTTCCTATAATTTTAATGATTCTAACTTTGCTTCTGACACCAGGAAAAACTGTCAGCCAAGATGCCTGAAACGGAGGAAGAGGTGGGTATGTCCGTTCGCTTGACGAACGATGATTTCCGAAAGCTCCTGATGACTCCAAGGGCGTCAGTGCCCTCAGCTACTCCAGCCTCCGTGCCAGGTACAGTAAGGGATGCAAGTGCAAAAACTGCCCAAACGCCCCAAGTCAGCGGAGGCAGCCGGGCCGAGTTGCGAAGGAAGAAAAAGAGCTTCTATGCGAAATTAAAGAAGCAGGAAGAGGATAAGATGGCTGAGCTCGCTGAGAAATACAGAGATCGTGCGAGAGAACGCAGGGACGGTACCAATCAAGATTATCAGGCAGAAGATCCCATGAATAATGCTAGTGCTTACCGAGCTGTTGCACCTGACCTAAAATCTGGCATGGATGCTGCAGAGCGCAGGAGACAGATGATTCAACAGTCTAAATTCTTGGGTGGTGACATGGAGCACACTCACTTGGTCAAAGGCTTGGATTACGCTCTTCTGCAGAAGGTATAATGCCTTCAGGATTTTGTTATCTTCATTTTATTGCTTTATTAAAGTTTTAAAAAAAATTGACTGTAGAAAATTTATTGCAATATAGATATATTGAATCAATTTATTTATCAGTCATTTAAAGTCATTAAAAAATTTGAGTATACAAAGTATACAGATGATAGTATGCATTCTAATCTTAAATTCTATTTTAACTCACATTCAATGTATATTCGTAAATAATATAATACCATATATTTTATAGGTACGCAGTGAAATTGAAGCAAAAGAACATGAGCAAGAGCAGGAGTTGGAGAAACTGGTGAAGCCAAAGGAGAAGACAAAGAAAGAACCACTTCCGGAGAAGAAAGATGACGAGATGCAATTCAAGACCAAGATCGGTCGAAACGTGTACAAGACAATCATGACCATGAAATCTAAGCAAATTGAAAGGAATGAACTCTTTACGCCAGGTCGCATGGCATATGTGATCGAGCTGGATGACGAAAATGCCGACGTCGACATACCGACGACCCTTATCAGAAGCAAGGCGGACGTGCCTACGATCGACAATACACCAACTCTCACAACCAATGATATCGTAATAAATAAATTGGCTCAGATACTGTCATACTTGCGCCAGGGAAGCCGTCACAGCAAGAAGGGCAAGAAACTGAAGGACGGACGCGGTCGTGGCGACGAACTGAACGAACTCGACATCCAGTCACGTCAGCCCGTTGCTGATGAAAGCATTTATGGCGACATTGGCGATTATGTGCCGACGATGATGAGCAAAAAGGATGTGCAGCTGCGCGAGAAGAAGAAGGGTTCGTACTTTGATAAGCCCGAACCGAATCTGGACACTGATGACAAGGCAAACGCACCTCAGTTGCCAAACGCGTTGCAGCCGAACGCGATTGCCGTTGCAGTTGTTGCAGCAGATAGCAATGCGCCGAAAAAGGGTGCATTGCTGAACAAACTCGCGGCCGAACCGGAAGGATACGCCGAGTGTTATCCAGGTTTAGATGAGATGCAAGACGCTATCGATGATTCGGACGATGAAGTGGATTATACGAAGATGGATCTAGGTAACAAAAAGGGCCCGATAGGTCGCTGGGACTTTGACACGCCCGAGGAATACAGCGAATATATGAACAACAAGGAGGCGTTGCCTAAAGCAGCCTTTCAGTACGGCGTGAAGATGGCTGATGGTAGACGCACCAGAAAGTACAATAAAGAGAAGAATGAAAAGGCAGAACTCGATCGCGAATGGCAAAAGATCCAGAACATTATGAACAAGAGGAAACCGACAACGGCGATCGAGGGCGCATCTGAATTTAAAGTACCACGATATTGAGCGTTCTATTCGACTAGCGAATCTGTATTTTCAGTTTATCGCATAAACGGAAAGTCCCAAGAATCTAAAACTGTTATCTCAAAATTGTTACGTGTTAGATGTGAAGAAAAATCGCTTTATTATGAGAAATGATTTTTTTTTTATTTGTATAAATACAATAAAATTTTTCGCGAATTTTTGAATTATCTCCTATCGCGACAAATTTTTAAATATATATATATATATATATATAATATGAATAAATTATTATTCAAATAAATACACTATATAATAAATTTATTCTTATATAAAACTATATGCTGATAAATTCATGGTATACAGTTTATCAAATAAGTTATTAGCATAGTTAATATTAATGAAGCAGTCAACAAGAACCAACTTGAATAACAAAATTGTATATGTTGTATCATATGTTGTAGACATTTAATCTAGTTTTACATTAATTCATACAATAATTTGTTTTACGAAATAGTTTTCTAAGTGTTAGGTATATGCATACATATTTAGCCCGAATGTAGTATATAATATAAAAATATATAACACCTATACATATATAATTAATAATTTTCATATGCATTAATCATTTTATTTTCCAATTATTAAATCCTTAAAGTTATATCTTGTTACTGTCTTCACTTTAATTAAGGAATTTAAAAGCAACGTAAACATTAACGAGTACAAGTTTTTATGAGTGCGAAGAAGACGTGTCTGTTTGTCCGAAAAAATTCATTTGGCTTATTTTAAAGAAAATGTAATTTTTTTCGGTATGCATATATAGTTTAAACGGTCCTTTATGAAATGAGGACGTTGTTAAACGAGTTATGTAACAGGATTACAACGTGATGACCGATCGTTTTCGTGGAATTACGAATTACGGATGCGTGAAATAGATAATATTAAATATGTACTTTACGTTCACATGGTCTTGTGATAAAGATCGTGTAACCTTACCGAGCAGAGTGACCCGAAACCGGTTCGCGGCGGTTCGAAAATGCTAGTATAAACACAAATTTATCGACGAGACTTTTTGCTTCTTTGTGAACTAATGATCTCAAAACCGGCGAATCTTTCCTTTTAACTGGAACAAGCCGGTTTGCACTTACATCAGTTCGCGTTTTACGATTAGAAAGTCATTGGCGTTATAGAAAAAAATCTCCGGTCAATTCTGATTCGATCTTACATTTGACGTAAATAAATTTAAATCACTATCAGTATTTGCTTAAGAAATGACCTACGTTGCAAATATAGTTTTGCAAATTCATTCTGGGTTGAGATCAATTTAGAAACGAGAGAGAAAACAAGATTTCATATTTTTCTAGTCAAACGATTATTTTTTATTGAATATATTTTTCTATAATATCATTAATAAAATAAAAAGAAAATTTGCGCGTTATTAAACGCACTCGGCTTTTTGTTTCTTATTCTTTGCAATTCATATTATTTAATAATAAATATACTGTTGTCAAGAATATTTTATGATAGAATAGTGTTTTATCGTTGTCCGATTTATATAACAAATAAATGAATTCTCGATATGGAATGATCTCATTCTGCTAATTAAAAACTGCTGAATTTGTTAATTAATAGTCTAGTATTATGAGAAAAAAATGTCATTTAAACGTAAGCTTGGTCGCATGGCTTTGAATAGTTTATTAGAACGTGACATAGAGATAATGGAAGTCCATCGAGGAAAGAAAATATTTTCGATCTTGACCCTCGTTTAACTGATATCGATATCGTCCACGTATATATATGCAACTGCTTTTACCCGGGTGTTCACAGTTCGAGCAAGGAAGCTGATTGTGATCGTTGCACAGTTTCACTCCAAGTGCAATCAGTGAGAAAAGTGAAGGCGCAACGTGGACATATCCCGCGATACACCTACATTCTGCAACTGATGCTGGCCCTCAAGAATCTCGTTTGGCGGCGCAACCTCGTCTTGAATATCGTAAGTCCAATAAATCCTGTTCCATCGAAATTCAAGAGAGTGGCGACAAAATTTGACTCTATGAAGCATACACGAGAGATACGAATTTCTCTCTTGCGTTATTTTGCCAATTATTAGAGTAAAACGCTTCTTATAATGTGTTAAATATCATAACGATCGTATTGGTGTAACATAAAATGTAACATATAACGTACGTCACTCACAAAGAATGCGATATCCAGGTAATACATAGATTAGATATAGGTATAGGGCAATATTGTAAGTGTCGTAACACGGTCCTAATATCGACGTAATTTGTTATTCAGTGTTCTTTTTTTTCTAAATATACCAATCCTATAAGCGCATAATATTATTTAATATTTTAAGCATATTCTTAGACTATTAAATGTACATAATGCTTAAAATAATATTATGCGTCTATAAGGAAGTGACAGTGACATTGTAGTCACATGTAAATTTATAATTCTATCCTTTTATCGTAATAAGATTTAGATATTTTTGTTCGTTTAATTTTAATAATTGGCTTCTGCATGATCGGTATTTCCTGTTAATATTAATTTATATTTTATGACTAATTAATATGACATCACTCACGTTTTTTTTTTATACGGTAATGGTGTCGCGTATGCGCGATTAATTATATTAATAGGGGCTTCGCGGTGATATCCTGTAAATAAGCTTCGTAAATGTATATTTACAGCCTGTATAAACTGCTACTGAACAGAGAGACTAAACCCTGGATAGGTATGTAAATTGAACATTATTTAATTAATGTATTTACTAATGAAATAATTAAAACGTTCAATATTAACGCATTGTTAAAGATACCTGATAAAAAGCTAATTTTTTCTGTAACGTAAAGATAATATAAATATAAATCGATGAACTATTTAACAGATTGATGGTATAATAAATTATTTCAACGATGACATTATTTACAATTATAGTATTTATCTCACTTAAGAGTTTGATTTAATTTTCAACGAAAATTTCGAGAGTGATAGTACATAGAAATTAATAAAATCTTTTACAAATGATAATCCTGAAAATCAGTCGACGATGGCGCAACTCAAGGTGGCTATCATCGGACAAAGTCCATTCGCGGCGGAAGTCTACAAACTTTTACGACAGAATGGACATCAGGTGACCGGAGTGTTTACGATTCCGGATAAAGGAAACCGCGAGGATCCTCTAGGTATCAGAGCTTTGATTAAAATTATTAATCGTATTATAAATCTTCTCGAGTTTTATATATATACATATATCAGGATTATCCATTGGCTGTTTCTTCGAGATCTTTGATTTAAAAAAAAAACGTGAAGAATTTCGGATATTCAATGAATGATCGTGCGGTTTACATTTCGCCTTATCACTATTTCGATCGCAGCTACTACTGCCAAGGCTGATAACACGCCGGTCTTCAAGATCAAGGCTTGGAGGAGCAAGGGAGTGACCTTGCCGGAAATCCTGGAGCTATACAAGGGCATCGAGGTGGATCTCAATGTCCTTCCCTTCTGCAGTCAGTACATCCCCATGGAAGTCATTAATCATCCTCGTCACCGAAGCATATGTTATCATCCGTCCTTATTACCCAGACACAGAGGCGCGAGCGCTATAAGCTGGTGAGTTCTTCTCACTTCGATCACCACGTGTCTTTGATTCTCTTGGAAATTTTCCAGAGATCGAGAATACAAAAGTGTTGTTATAGAAAGATCTACAGTGGAACATTTTTGATCTTGTAAGAGTGGGAACTTCCCGCGCAATCAATCCGAAGAAAATGCAGAGCCATCACGAAGACATAGAGTTATATATAGTTGAATAACGAATTTTACATTTCGGACTTACAGTGACAGTAAGACTGTAACAAAAAAGTCCTCGTCATCTGCTACCTTCGAATGAGCCACGAGTATCAAATGATGCGAAATAAAATAATTTACTTTAGAAGAGTCGTACACAGTGTCCATATCTTTTAAGGATTATGTTAATACGTACATCTGCAGTTACTTGTTTATTTTTAGACTTAGCTCATGCTAGAGTTGACAAGTCAGTCGGTCGCGATATCATGTCTGTCGATATCGGCGCGCCGCAACAACCGGTTCGCCGCGGTTTTCGTGCTCCAGATTATGAGGCGAAACTACTTTCTCGCTGAAAACGCGCCGATAATGACAACGATAATAAGAGACCACGAGCTCGCCATATGATCCCCTCGAACTGCGCGTGAGCACGTATCGCGCGCATTTTATTACACTTTGACCGATGATATTATACATTTTCGGCATTCTCTCCTTCTCGTACCTAATTTTTCTTGTTTATCCGCCAAATAAACTAAAATCGCATTTCCTTCTAATGCCATTATTTTAATCTCGGTTCAACTAACTGTTCATCTTTTTCCTAGTTCTAAGAATTAGATGCCCAAGCAGAACAACAAGTTGTTATAATGTCAAAATGATCATTAAAAGTCATTTTTCAATCATTTCCGATTTATTTTAATGTCATTTTGATGTTATCTTACCTTGTTATTCTGCTTGGGTGCAGAAGAATAAGTTGAACTGAAATTAAAGTTAATCTAAATTAGCAGAAGCGAACAGAGGGATTGAAAAAATTATATAATTCTTTAATCAATTATTTTTGCTTTCTTATTTTAAACTAATCTATCTCGCGTTTCAGGACTTTGATTCAAGGAGATAAAACCGCAGGATTTTCGATTTTCTGGGCGGACGATGGCTTGGATACTGGGCCAATTCTCCTCCAAGAATCCTGCAAAGTGGAGCCGAATGATACGGTGGACAGTTTGTACAATAATTTCCTCTATCCGGAGGGTATCAAAGCCATGGGTGATGCCGTGAACCTCGTCGCCAAAGGGACTGCGCCTATGGTGCCACAACCAGCGGAGGGTGCGACTTACGATCCCTTGCTGAACAAGAAAGAACTCCAGAAGATCGACTGGACAAAGCCGGCGAAGGAACTTCACGATTTTATTCGTGGTCTGGACAGTACACCGGGAGCTTGGACGACGCTGGATGGCGAGGAAGTGCGACTCTTCGGATCATCTTTGTGGAGCGATAAGCAACCAGAAGTCGAGAAGACGGTCAATCTCGAGGAGCGAAAAGGAATCGTTCATCAGAGAGGTTTGCTGATCAAAGCTGTTGACGGACAATTCATTAATGTGGAGAGAATCAAAACTGGAACCAAGACCATTCATGCCAGCAAATATGGGCAGGTTAACGATAGCCAGGTTGTGGAGTTTACGGAAGAAGAGTTAAATATCACCAACAGCCTGCGTCAAATTTGGACAGATATACTCAGAATTGATGTCGACGAAGATACAGATTTCTTTGTTTCCGGTAAGCTTAAAGATTTTTTATAAATGCCAAATTTAATTTATATATTTGAATTTCAATATAAATTTTTATTCATTGGATAGCTATCAGTTAAATACACATTTATTATGTTAAGTTGAAGATTTATATATTGTATAATAAATATTAATTTTGATTTTTTGTTCGCTATTGTCATTATTTTGTGATAAATTAACTACACGTGACAAGAAGTTTGAATTAATCTTACGAAATTTTTGTCGCAGGTGGAGGCAGCATGGACGTGGTACGACTAGTCGAGGAAGTCAAGGACAATTTCGGCGTTAGTCTGCAGAACATCGACGTCTTCATGGCACCGGTCTTCAAGGAATTCGCCACGACGGTTATACTCACCGCTCGGGGAAATTTAGCCGCGAAGGAGATCAAGTACGACGCGATGGAGATGCAGGTGAACAACATGACTCTGAGATTCCCCAGGCAACTCTTCATCGACGGCGAGTTCGTTAACGGCCACGGTAATCCTGTCAACACGATAAATCCTCACGACGAAAGCGTAATCTGCTCGGTAGAAAGCGGAAATGCCGACGATGTCGATCGAGCCGTCAGAGCCGCCAAAAAAGCCTTTGAGGAGGGTGAATGGGGCAAAATTAGTGCCAGGGAGCGTGGAGCTTTATTGTTCAAGTAAGAGACTAATCATCCCGTTCAAACAAAGATTTATTTCCAATTCTTCACATTTCTTTTATCGTCTTCTAGATTGGCGGATTTGATGGAAGAGCACAAGGAAGAACTGGCTACTCTGGAGACTCTGGACTCTGGCGCGGTTTATACTCTCGCTCTGAAAACCCACGTAGGCATGTCTATTGAGACCTGGCGCTACTTCGCCGGCTGGTGCGACAAGATTCAAGGTTCAACCATACCCATCTCGCATGCCCGTCCGAACCGGAATCTTACATTCACGCGGCGTGAACCGATCGGCGTTTGTGGCCTGGTCACTCCGTGGAACTACCCGCTGATGATGCTGTCGTGGAAGATGGCGGCCTGCCTAGCGGCCGGCAACACCGTGGTAATGAAACCGGCTCAGGCATCACCCCTAACAGCCTTGAAATTCGCCGAACTGTCCGCACGTGCTGGAATTCCACCCGGAGTCATTAATATCGTCTGCGGAGTCGGCAGTGCCGTCGGAAACGCTATAGTGGGGCATCCGTTGATCAGAAAGCTGGGCTTCACCGGCTCCACGCAGATCGGTCAAACCATCATGAGATGTTGTGCCGATAGTAACCTGAAGAAAGTGTCATTGGAGCTTGGTGGTAAAAGTCCCCTCGTCATCTTCGAAGACGCAGACATGCAACAAGCGGTCAGGATCGGCATGGGCAGTGTGTTCTTCAATAAAGGAGAAAACTGCATCGCCGCCGGTAAGAAACTACTTCTTATATTTCTTTTATTTTGGAGTCCAAGCAAAATAAACGGCTTTTTAAATAATCATACAATAGATAGCATAAAGTTAAATATCCCAAAAATATACGCTCGTTGATATAAGAGATAGGATTTAATCTTCAAATATAATCAAATTGTCTATTATTAATTTTTTTTCGTCCCAAAGGCCGACTTTTTGTTGAGGAGACTATTCATGACGAGTTCGTGAGACGTGTGGTTGACGAGATAAAGAAGATTACCATCGGTAATCCGCTGGAGAGAAGCACGGCTCACGGGCCGCAGAATCACAAGGCTCATTTGGACAAACTCCTCGAGTTCGTGCAGAGCGGAGTCGAAGAGGGCGCGAAGTTGGTCTACGGCGGCAAAAGGTTGAATCGTCCCGGCTGGTACTTTGAACCGACCGTATTCACGGAAGTCGAGGACAACATGTACATTGCCAAGGAAGAATCTTTTGGTCCAGTAATGGTGATCTCCAAATTCAGCTCGAAGAACATCGATCAGATGATCGCGCGGGCAAACAACACCGAATTTGGTCTGGCCTCGGGGGTTCTTACCAAGGACATCAGCAGGGCGCTCAGATTTGCAGAGAAAATCGAGGCTGGCACAGTATTCATCAACACGTACAACAAGACGGATGTAGCAGCACCGTTCGGCGGCTTCAAGATGTCTGGATTCGGCAAGGATTTGGGACAGGAGGCTCTTAACGAATATCTCAAGACGAAGACGGTTACCGTTGAGTACTAACGATCATTATCCGAGAACATTGTAATATATGGTATCATGGATGTGTACACTCTAAATTTCTTGCAGTGAAATCTCACTCCAAGAGAGTGAAAATACAATCACCTTTGAAAATAAGTGAAAATATGTCACTCTTTTTCAGAAAGTGAAGAGTGGTTGTATTTTCACTTTCTTGGAGTGAGATTTTACTGCAAGAAATTTAGAGTGTAATGACGTATATCGTCGCATGTGATGTTGTATCTAGATCTTACAAAGTTTCTTTAACAAAACTGAACGAGTCTTACGTTTAAAGATAAAAAATTAATATACATTCGCGCGCCACATTTACTCATTTCCTCTTTACATACTACATATATTATTTATACATTGAATAAACCTATCATAAATTAAAAGGCCGATAAGATTAAATCAAATAAGAAAAAGAATCTTATTTTCAGTCAAAGTGGATGCTGATGCTTGATAATATTCAAATACAAATTTATATATAAACGTTATCTCGAGCATCAGCATCCGCTTTAACTGAAAATAGGATTCTTTCTTTTATTTGATTTATACAAATAAACTTGTTTCTATAACTGTTTTTTTCTGTCTCTTTAATAACCAAAAACAAATGATCGACTTTTTTTAAGCATTAATAATTAAGCTTTGTTTGCTTCGTCAATTTTTATACGATAAAATCTTAAAATCTCACGATACATCAACGATGTATTTAGTCATTTTACAATGACCATTCTTACATCTTGTTGCAACCATCGAAAAGAAAAACCGCTCGACGTGGGAAAGCACGTTTCAAGGCAACGAAACGAGAGGACGAAACGGGACCTTTACGAGTTAACGAAGGGAGATTGTGGATCTCGCTCCCACGCGTACGGGGTGTACAAATAGTTTTTACAGCGGATCGCCTTCTATCCCGAGGTTCCAGATGTTACTTGATTTTTTGTCTTAGAACACACAAGTGTGCTCCGCGCGTTGCAAGTATAAGGCTCATTCGCGTTCCTATAGCGCTTCATCTTGCTCGACCTTGTCTCTCCGAACGACCAATCGCAAACGATCATTCATGGCATTTTAAACACGAAACTGGAGACTATCTGAAAGAAAATAGGATGCAAGTGTTTTCTTAGAGACAAGCCAAAATATTTCAAGAATCAGATTTTGTAACAATTAGAGTATTAGATTAATGAGAATTAATTTTAAATTGTTTCTTCTTTATCAATTCCGTTTTTATTGATTACTTTTTAAAATCTATTTACAGACAAATAATTTTTTTATCTATTTAACAAAATAAACCAGAAAGAGGAGGGAGAACAAAATTAATGATAATTATATAAATGAAAAAAGTTTCCATAAATTTTTTAGATCCGTCAGAACAGAAGAAAAATAAGTAAATGAGCAAGGCAAATTTTTGTCGATTGTAGGTAGAAAACTTCTGAGACGTTTAGAAGCGTAAATGTGTTACTTGATAATAGTTTCCGGAGGTCAGCAATGGGCCCGCTGTTTCGTCTTTGTGTATGAACAGGCATTGTGCCCTGTATGAGTCATCAGGGGACGGTTCAAACGATCGGGTGCAACGCGGGCGCAGTACCTGAGAGAGGTCTGTGAAAGGGTCTGCTATGAAAATTCCCCCTGTGTAGGTGCACACGGTCAATAACCCAGTCGACGAACAGCTGTTCCTATAAGTATGTCCCTCCCTTTCTTCGGCCACTGTTTCTTACATCTTTACCCTCAGCCACCCTTCGACCTCAGGTCTTCATCCGTCTGGCAAATAAAGGCTCTCTCTAGAAAGCTCATGCAGTTGTAGTTTTTAGTTTGTAGAGAACGTTCGAGTTTTCTTGAAAATTCCTCAAACACACGAATATACAAATGTTAATTTCTTGGGTAAAACAGAAATTTTATACTGACTCCAATTTTAATTCTAAAATATAATCACACACACACACTTAAATACTCGATAAAAAGAATGAAATAATTGTTCTATTTTGAAAAGAAAGAAAGAGGCGCACATGTTATCTGTGAAATTAATTTAGAATCGAGCTCTCTCTCTTTTTGAAACAAATGTGACATTTAATTTTCATCAGAAAGTCTAAATTTTATAGACGAGCTCAAATAAGGAGTTCTGGAGTGACATAACGGCTTTGATATTTTGGGCCTAATTTTGAGTGTACGCGGGGGCCTAATTCGAAAGCGTGCGCAACCGGCACGGCTGGTCTGGCCCAGAATTATTCATCGTAGACAGGAAATGCAAATTCCATCGTGTCCCCTCATGTTATAGGACAGTGCTCTTTGACCTTATCTCGATCCCTTTTAAGAGCGAGAATTCTCGCCTTTATGAAAATTTCGTCTTCGGACTTTTTCTTTCAAGTTCCTTTCATGAATGCATTTATTTCCTATATATATATATATATCTGTATAATGTACAATATATTTGTAATTAATTTATATTTAAATCTAAACAATTTTCTTCTTCACACATTCTATCTGCCTTAATTCCAGATATAAACATATATTAATTCTTTATTTATAAAATGTGACGTTATTTAATCTTTAAAAATAAGAAACGCTCTTTCGAAAAAATTATTTTTCATTAAGTTTATAAAGTATATGTAAAATTGGAATAAAAATTCTAGAAATACAACGCGGTGTCAGTAAAAATCGTTTTACCACTTTTTATTATGTTAGAACAAATTCTAAAGTTTTTTCACGATGTGTGATACGTCCAAGTAAAAATTGCAAATTTTGTTTTTTCCCAATTTCGGTACATTTTACCTCGAGATTCTATTGTATTTCGGGGGTCATGGTATGCGACCTCGCATGTCGCAATTTACAAAGTTGAAAGAAGATCCCGGACCCCTTGAAGGAAGGGGACCGAATGAGAGTTCCCGGGCACCACGTGTGCGCCCGTTTTCTCTCGCTCTTCTTCTCTCATTCTCTCTTCGCACCCTCCCGACGGCAGTTCCCTTTCCGCTCGCGCGCGCTCAGCTCGTGCGGATTCCGCTCGCAATCAAATCAGTCGTTCTCGAGATGCCGCGTGCGATGGTTGTCAGGTCGTGTAGTGTGAGCGACACTCATCGTGTCGCCGTGGAACAAAAAGTATATTGCGATATGTAACATACTGTATTATTATTATCATTGTTGGGAAGGGAAAAATATTGCGGCCGCGATTCCCCGCGAGTATCCGCCGGTATCACGTCGGGCGGAAACGAGTATCTTCCTCCCGCGGGACGCACGTTTCATGTACTGGGTGTCGCGTGTATAAGGAACGCGTGGAATCCTCGATGATGGGAAGTGCTTGGGACGATGTTGTAAATGTTCAAGAATTTTCTTCCTAATTTTGTAACACTAAACCTTCCTTTATAAAGGACACACGGATCGTATTTTTATTTTTATGATTATCTTCCTTAAATTTTCTCGCATAATTTTTAGTTGACGTATGTATTTGTATTGTGCATTTAATATAAAGAGAAATTTTAACACCTTAATCACACTAGAGACTCAGTATTGCGAACCGAAAGTATGTTGCGCGCATGATCGCCGCGTGTGAATGAATTATAAATTGAACGGCAGTTTATCGTGATGGTTGCGTAAACGAGTATTAAAAAAACGTTACAAAACCACGTCGTGTCATCGGGACTTGCGTTGATTCGGCTGCGAGAAAAATAAACTGAAACGCGCGGGTTATGAGTCACTCCAACAATGCGTTCCGACTGCGATTTCCTCTCTCTCTCTCTCTCTCTCTCTCTCTCTCTCTCTCTCTCTCTCTCTCTCTC